CCGGGTATATCTCCAAGGCTAAAGAGGCTGGCGGAGAGATCCTGATCGGAGGAACCGGTAGGCCGTGCTTGCCTCGTTGGCCGATAGCGTATATTCATGCTGCTGCCTAGGCGATGACTCGAAGGGCTACTTCATTCAGCCTACGATCATCCTGACGAAGGATCCTCACTCGATCACCATGAAGGAGGAGATCTTCGGCCCCGTTATCACCGTACGTGTCATTGTATGAGTGCTAGCTGAGCAGGACTAAGCGACATCACAGGTCTATGTCTACGAGGACGCCGACTTCGAGAAGACGGTCGACTTGATCAACACCACATCTGACTACGCTCTGACCGGCTCGATGTACGTCTTCTTTCATCGTTATCTTGTGGGCATTTTTCTCAGCCGTCTGCGCTTCCAGCTTCGCCTCGGACCGCAAAGCGCTTCTCTACGCCACGAACAAGCTCCGCAACGCGGCCGGCAACGTCTACTACAACGAGAAGTGCACGGGTGCTGTCGTCGGACAGCAACCCTTCGGCGGTGCCCGTGCAAGCGGGACGAACGACAAGGCAGGCAGCATCAGCATCTTCTATCGCTTCGTCAGCGCCAGGAGCATCAAGGAGAACTTCGTTGGGCTCGAGGACTTCGGCTATCCCTCTAACCTGTTGTAACGGGCTAAGCGAGGGAAGAAGGGAGAAAAATGGACTTGAAGATGTGTAAGAATTGACGTAAAAACATCTTGTATGTATAGGGACTACTTGTCAAGGCTATCGGATTGTGCTTTCTCTGTCTGGTGCAGCTGGGTCCTAGTTAGCGCTCTGGGTACACGAATGGGTCGTGTTGAGCGTGTTTGGTTGTCGGCATCGGCCGAGCGCAGTACACAATATATAAAGCAAACGAGGACACACGCGTTTCTGTGGTGATGCTTGGCTTGCAACATTGCTCGTCAACTCGCCCACATTATTTGCCGGGGTCTTCGACCGGGTACACTTGTTGTATGCTTCCGACCATCGCCTCGATCTGACTTGATGAACCTGACACCTCGTTTTTTCCAGGATCTGGTGTCGACATTGATCGGATACGTGAATTTCGGCTTGCACGACTGCTCGTCGCTCCACTCCGGTTGTGTACTTGGTCGTCGGCCGCCGCTCAGTATCCTCGTTCAAGTGCATTCCCCGTCGCTCCAGGGGACAGCCGGTAACTCTGGAGCAGCGGGGGAAAGCGCACAGCACAGGTATGTCGATGCCGACCTCTACCATCCGATGCGACCAACCTAACGTATTCTTCCAGAATACTGCCATGCGGAAAGGCATTACCGTTGTTGGCATATGGACTGAAAAGAGGGATCTTAGTCGATGTGAGTCTGCTGTCTCCTCGTCCGTGCACCATATATAACCAGCAGTTCTGCATGTAGCCCTCGAGTTGGCCTGCATGTCAACAACTGCTCTTCAAATCAATTACCCCAGGTCACGCCCAGATATCTGGGCACAGCTCAGTGCCTTCCTTCATATCTTTGGCGAGGTGCAACCGGCTGCCAAACACATAACCCTTCCGTGGCAACTTACCACCCCATGTTATGTGCGACTCACTGAGTCGACGAAGTGCCGATGGAAATCTATCGTGCCTTCAAATACCCCCCTCCGTGGCAGTTTTGCCACTGCATGTAACATGCTACATGCAAGACTCGTTGAGTCTACAAAGTGCCGGTGAAATCTCATCGTGCACTACGTATCTTCAAATCAATTATCCCAGGCCGTCTTCTCCCCCTTAGGTCACCACTACGTTACGGCGTTACAGTACTGTTACAGCGGTGATATTGGGTGGGACAGTTCATTTTGAATCACTTGGTTTACCCCTTTTGTCAAGCAATATAAGGCTGGTGAACCGGAAGTTTGTGTGTGGCTCGGTAGTAAGGATGTGCAAGGATGTGCATGTTGCCATTAAACGGGTCTTCGCGCGGTTTCACACAAGATAGACATCTACGCGCACACAGGCTTGCTAACATTGGGGCGCAGAGATGCGCAGATAGAAGGCACATTTCATCTCGTACAACGGCAACGACCGTCGCTAGATGGCTACCGACTGTCAGATGCGCACAACCTGCACCAACGTCGGCATGCCCTTGCCAATCACGCACGCAAGACTATCGGAATGCAAGCGAAATCTGATATATCGATGATGAACCGTAGCCGGCTTCACCCTAGAAAAAGGTAAACGTCGAGAACCAACAAGTATCTCAAGACAGGCGGTCGGGGACGACCTTCGGATTCGTACTGTACGTTCCAGGCATAGGGGTCGGCACGATCAACCGCACCTGTCTAGAATGAGAAACGAACAATACGGGTTGTCAATGAATGCAGACCAATGTTGGTGATGGGCGTACGCCGAGAAGATCAGAGGAAATTTTGTTCTCAAAGGCATTGTGGGGCGTTACTCCCGCCTCGACGAGCTGGGTTAATCGAGCTTAGAGCTCTTTGTCATCACGGGTCCTGACATGCAACTTTCGCTAGCGTTGGTTAAAGGAATATTATTCACCTGCGAGAAGGAAGTGGTCAGTATACGTGACGAAAGGGAGTGTGCAGAGGATCAGAAGAAAACATTATCTCAAAGGCATAATGGGGCGTTACTCCCGCCTCGACGAGCTGGGTTAATTCGAGCTGAGAGCTCTTTGTCATCATAAGAGGAGAAGTGCAGAGCACATCACAACGATAGAAGGTGAGCACGAACCTCTTTCTTGTCATTTTCCGGGCGGGTGGGGGAACAATCCGAGACACGTCTGTAGAAGGCAATGAACCATAGAGCTCTCCGCCTCTCGGCAATGACACAACTCCCCCACCAGCAACTATGTGTCGCAGCGTCTGCACTGAAATTGACGCGATTGGACTGTGAGTCCGCTTGGAGACGCGCACATGGGCAGTCGATGGAGGGCCTCTCAGCCTAAGCAAGTAGAAGCGGGAGATTCAGAAGGCATCTTCGGTCGTTTTTGTGGATGCCATGAAGTTGTTGCGACGATGTTCTAAGCAAGGATTGGGTGCAAATTTCCTCATGTGCGCGAATGAAGCGACTTTAGGGCCGGCGGAGACGCGTCGCGTTACGCGTCTAGGTCGCGTCAATCAGTGAAAGGCCCGACGCTGTCTCTTCGACGCCTTCGACTTCCTCGACCGTTTCGTCTCTGTCAGTTCCATCTTGTCGTAGGCAATCCCTCATATATTCTCAAGATCAAGATGCCAAATCCACCAGATCCGCAGCCTCGCCAAAGCCGGCAAGAAATGGCAGACGTACGTGGAGGCCTTTACGACCACGACGGGCTATACTTCACGCAATTGAATTCCTCCATATTCTGACCAATCACTCAGATAATTCGCGCGAAGGAAAAGGAGAACACACGCCTACGCCGGGAAATTCAAGATTTGAGACGGCAACTCATGGATAGAGATGGTGAGTAAAGGACATGCCAATTTATAGACCGCGAAGGTCGCCAGCTATATCGAAAAAGTCACTAACACTCCGTTGGAGAATTAATCCAGGACACTGACGGAGTGGAAGACGAGGACGACCCACCCCAGCCCATCGACAGCTCAGACGGTGGCGAGCCAGACTCGTTTCGGTGTACGAGTTGTGCCTGGGAGGTGATCCAAGGCATCTGTCAAGGATGTGGACTAGAGCATGCTTATGATGCAGTAAGGTGTTTTTTTTTTTAGCTTGCTGGCTATGATTGAACACAAAGGACTTCCCACAGGAACGTGAGGACGAGATATACCAGCGCCTCCACGGCAGCATCTCCACCGCCGAGACGCTCACGCACAGCGATCGGCAGCTTCCTCCACGTGGTACGACGCCCCTTCTTGAGGTGGAAACGTTTATCGTGCCGCTGCAGTATCGGGGATCTCGAGAAGACGAATTCTGCGCTTTGCTTGCGCGGGGCGCCTCACGTCTCATGTGCGAGACTTTCCATCTCGAGTATACTCCCGAGGGCGGTATCGTGGCTTGGGCCGATACGGATCTGTTTGAAGAATTCTCTGGTCCGAAGATGAAGAAAGGCCATTTCTGGAAGATCTGCCTTGGACGTCGCATTATCCTGGATGAAGACGACATGGACGGAAGCCAGTTCATCGAAGGGCTTGTGGAAGAAGCCATGGTCTTTCCTATAAGTGAATCTCGGAGGAAGCCATGGGGTATGTGGGAGACAGTATTGGAGGAGAACACCAAGGACACCATATGGGTTACAAGGCCTGTCTCGGGGGCTTTCCCAGAATCTCATGGCGATGACGATACGAGTGGAGACGAAGATGAGGACGAGGACGACTGGGAAACCTCGTCTGGCGAAGTTGACTCATCCCAAGCTGATGACGATAACGACGACGAGGGTGACGATGATGCCGATGGTGAAGGTGAAGGTGAAGGCTACGCTGACGTTGAGTCGATCGAACCAGACGAGTCGGTTGGTCCAGAAGAGCAAGAGGAAGACCTGATCATAAATGATTATGAGGCCTCAAATATTGGATCCGATGACATGGAGGTGGATTTCGAGCCTGCATGGTACTACTCTCCTTCCGAAGGCACGGATGAGCCAGACGAAGACCAGGATTCCCAGGAAATGGTAGATCAAGGCCATGCAGACGAAGGACAAGCTGAACCGAACGACGGCGCGCACGCCATCGATATTGAGCCTCCCCTCGAAGATGGGGTTTCCGAGTCATCTGCGGATAGCGACTTTGACATGGATGAAGAATTGAGTGGCGACGAAGAGGTCCTGCGAGATGCACCAGTAAATTTGCTTCCAGAAGAGAACTGAGTATGCAATATGCGACTTGGGGCTTACTGTGAAGATCTGATCATATATTTTGTGATTGCATGCAACATGTATAAGACCTATCTTTACTGTCGACCCTAATTGCAAGCTAGTAACAAGCGTGGTGTTCGTTTCAGCCTTAGGGAACGAAAGTGAGGGGTGAGTCTTCCGTCAACTGCTTTTTTGTATATATATATATATATGCTATTTGTGAGCTTTTGTGTATGGCTACCTGGCGCAATGGTAGCGCGTTTGGCTTCGATTGCCGGCGTACCAAAAGGTTGCAGGTTCGAGTCCTGCGGTGGTCAATATTTTGGGTAAAATGTTGGCGACGTTTTTGCTCCCCAAATAACAGGGCCTTGTAGAATCATGTTCTCTCGAGTTGAAATGGAGAAAAATATGAAACCCAATAGCAGAAAATATGAATAGACTGGTCGAATGTGCATATCTCTACGCGTGAAACAGTCGACGCGTTGACGTGTCCGATCGCGACGCGAGGCAGCGGCGTTCATTGATCTTGCTCGCGTACAACTCTTTCACGACCCTCCGTGTCAACACTCGTGTCTCGTCGCAAATTTACTATGGAGACCACGCCCAAGCTGGGGCTTCCAAGCCGCGAGGAAATGGTGAAGGTAAGTCGGAGGGTTACTTCAGATATTGCCCGTGGCTCATGCAGCTGTCGAGGACGGCAGATTATCCTCGCGCAAGAAAAGGAAATAAAGCGACTTCGAAGAAAGACTCGTGAGATGGGGAGGGCGCAGGAGAACGATGGTAAGCTGAGACCGATAGCACCCAGTTAAAAAGTAGCGGCGACTCATTCAAACTTTGAGCAGACGAAGAGGACGACATGGAGGACGTATCAGAAGACGAATGGCAGAACAACTTGACGAGTGACGACCTGTACGACCTGCAGCTGGAAACGGAAGACAGCGAACGCTCCGAGTCCGAAACCGCAGGCTCAAAGGAGGAAGATCTGCCCAAACCGATAGCTGACGATGTTCCACGATGCATACGGTGCCAATGGGAAGTCGTCGAAGGCTTCTGCCAGCTTTGCGGCTTCGAGCATGCATATACCTTTGTACGTCTTCCTTTATCTAGGGAGACTGTACCCGTTCATGTTAGTTACACATTTCTAGGGTGACGATGACGAAGACCGCTACGCTCATATTCATAGCAGTATCTCCACCGACCATGACCAACTCCGCAGCGAAAGGCAGCTTGCGCCTCGCGGGACTACACCTCTAGACCCGTCCCCAGAGACTCCCATGGACATTCCAGAACTATACGCAGAAGGCCGCCAGGACGAGTACCGCGCGTTGATCGCCCGTGGAGCCACGCGCGACATGTGCGAGACCTTCAACCTGGAGTGGGTGCCCGAGCAAGGTATCATAGCGTGGGCGGACGAGGCGCTGTTCCAAGACTTCTCCGGCCCGGCGATGAAGCCCGGCCAGCTGTGGAAGATCCACCTCGGGCGACGCATCACACTGGAGGACGACGACCAAGAGGGGAGCCAGTTCATCGAAGAATTTTTGGAGGACGCGATGATGTATCAAACCGTCGAGCCATTTCCGGACAACGAGGAGCCAGGTAGGTGGGAGACGATCTTGGACCACAGCGGGGTATGGATCACGAGGCCCGTTGTGGGTCCACGGGATGCCTATGGATCTGCGGAAGCCAAATTCACAGAGTGGGACGATGCGGCCGACGACGAAAACGGGCCTATAGTCAACAAGTACGAGGACTCCGAGTGCGACCCGGAAGACATACCGGAGAACGAAGATATTGTCCCCAGCTGGTATTATAATAATCAGGGACTATTCTCGCCTGGCAACACGGCCAATGAGGACGTGGACGACATGGATGTGGACATCGACGAGAAGTCCTCTGTTGACAGCGAGATCGATTCGCAAGAGTTGTTAAGTGGGGATGAGCATGCTAAGGAATTGAGGGAGGTGTGGATACAGCGCGATCCAATAAAGTGACGGTTCGTCTATGATCTGTAGATACTAGACGAGAGAGCGATTCGTGGATGGTTACATGTATAGTACTTTAGATGCGACCGTTCAAGGGCTTGTCGAGGCGGGCCGGTTCCGGACCGGCTGGAGAAAGCCGACTGACACGCCGAAGCGCCTGCGATCAAGCCGACGGGAGTCCTTTACTACTTGATACGCCCAACGTCCATGCGCACTCGCAGCTTGTCGCACACACAATCAGTTTTCTCTTCCTATACACGACGTCTCGACAGCTCTAAATCTTTCAGATTCTTCTCATGGTCGCCCCACCCGAGAAGCGGCGCCGACCATCGAGCCAGTTCCAAGCTATTCGCGGACGCGGAACGAGAAGAGGCGCAGAAGGCCCCGCAGCCCAAGAATCCCCTGCTCAATGTCGAGCACGAGAACTGGACAGGTGAAGAGTCTATGCAGGATGCGGTTCTGCGCATGCTTGTGGACAAGTACAAGCCCCTGCGCGGAGGCACGATACAAACTGCTGAGCAAAAGCTGAGACAAGCCCCTCCGAAAATATCATCGGTTCAGCCACCGCCTGTGCAAGCATTCTCGTCTAGCTCTACAGCTGCTCCGGCGGCACCGCGAAGTCCAGCATCGTGGGCGAACGAACCTCTTATTCCGGCCGTAGAGGGTCACAGGCCATGGCACACTACCTTCAAAGCTCCCTCGCATGCTACCTCTTCGGTTAGATATGGAAGCTTCCCGCCCCCCATCAAGCCGTCAGCCTCTACGACCGCACCCGACATGATGGACGATAAAGCACGACGCAAGGAAAGGGAAGTAAAGAAGCGGACCCAGACGGCAGGCCGGCTCAGCCGAGCCAAGGAGTCCACCTTGGAGTATCGCCTGGGGATCAAAAGCTCTCACGTCCAGAGTAGGCCAAACCCCTCTAGTGTAAAGGGGTGGCAGGGCCTCGTGGAAGAGCGGATAGAGGTACGTCGCTGCCCTATCGCGATACATCGAATTTACCGTCTCCCCAGCGTGCGCGCAGCGAGGGGCACTTTAGGACGATCAAGGGCAGGGGCCAGCCCATACATTGCTCCACAGAAGAGAGTAACCCCTTCATCGCGCGTGAAGAGTACCTCATGAATCGCATCGTGCAGCGGCAGGGTGCCGCGCCTCCTTGGGTAGAGATACAGGGAGGTAGGTACGAACTACATCCGTTCCAGGGTAGCGAAATTGACAGTCGTCGACACGGGTTTAGAACTCGAGACGGCCGTGACCTCGTTCCGGGAGCTGCTGCGCCAGTCGTGGGTGCGGCGTGCCATCCGCATGCTGACGCTGTCACAGCCCGCGACGCTCCTGCCGACTTTCACGTTGTCGGATGCGGTGCGGCTGCGTGATGCTGAGTGGGAGGAACGCGAGCGTGCCTATCACGATACGGCCGTGGAGGAGCTGAACTCGCTGGTGAGGAAGTACAACGCGATGGCGCCGTATGCTGTGCGGCGGCCGTACTACACGCGTAGTGTGGAGTTGGATAAGGCCTATCAGGATGCAGGGCGCGAGATCCTGCAAGGCCTGGCTGTGCAGTCGCAGCAGACCGGGGGATCGACTGCTGTCCGTTTCGGTGGCGACGATGAAGACGGAGCGGTTGGTGGTGGTGCACCTGTAGGGCGAGCGTTGCGGATACGAGACGTGATCCGGAGCTGGTTCGGGTGGGGTAAAGCCTGAAGGTGCGTCTTGTCCATGTACGGGTAGATCACCCGCAAACATCGACCATGCCAATCACTGTGGGATAGGTCTTCTCTACTTCTGACATCATAGAGGACAATTGCTTGTCATCTATCATTATCGACTACTCGATCTATAGGGTGTTCTTACCATAACACTTCTCCGTTTGTACTCTAGAACTACGCTACGTATACGTATTTAGAAAGGCGCTCCACGAACGCACCTTCACGGCCTCATCGCCCCAAACACGCTGGGTGCGTGTGTCGATGGATGCGGGCCAGTTTGGTCAAACCCCGAGCTCGCGCGAGCTGGCCTCATGTTTTGATGCCGCGCGGCGGGCACGCGCCCGGACGGACGTAAAGTGCCGACGCCCTTCTTCGGAAGCGGCTTCCGCGCCTTTGTTCTCGAAGGAGCACAATAAAAATCTGCTGCAGGGGGATGGCAACATGGCAGCTGGTGTGCGAAATACGACAGAGTTTGCGGTGCGTGGGGGATGGGTGAGCCGGTGAAAGAGGGAAATTGTCTGGGCGGAAGACGTTAGCTGCCTCGTGCTCGCCTCGCCTTCCATTGGAAGGGCCCTGCCAACGTGCCATCTAATCTACTATATAAACCGCCCATTTTTCGCAGCGCTCTTCCCCACTCCCATCTGCTCTCTTGCATCAGCCTCAAGCACAAGCCTCAAGCTCAAACCTCAAGCTCAAGCATCGCCCAAGCACCCCGTTCCGCCTCCCCTCGTTTCACCTTCCTTACCCCTTCGCACGCAATCATGTCCTCCGACGATATCATCGTAGGTCGTTCTCCGCCGCCCTGTGGTTGCGGACGCTGATCCGTTTGCATTGCTTGCAGCCTGGCGACATTGTGACCGTCAACCACGGCGCATACGGAAGGAAGGAAGGCCTTGTCATTGGATCCCACGTGGACTACGCTGTGCGTCGCTCTCTCGGTACCACTTGCGGCGACCTCTCTAACGCACAACTTGCATACAGGGCCGTCAGGTCGTCGAAGTCCAGTTCGAGCCCGGCGAGGTCTACCAGGCATGGTGCGTCGTGCCCTGCTCTGCGCACCATTTCGTGACATTGATGTTTCGTGCTCGCTTTCTGAAGGTACCCCACCGTTACGCGCGTCAAGCGTACTGTATACACCCGTCCGAAGCAGCGCACCGTCGAGCGCCACATCTACTGGTGACCACACCCTACCCGCCCATCCGCGACGCCCATCTGTATTTGTTTGCCCCCTCTCGCGGCTTGACGACGACAACGACGATGTGTACGCTATCGACGCACGCCCCGGACCCGGATTCGCATGACGTTCAGCTGACGGGCTGCCCTCCATCACCACCCGACCCGGCGCCCTGTAGGCTCGCTCCGCGTTTCCCATCGGGGCGGGCAGGTTTCATCTCCCAGGATATTTAACGAGGACAGTCTTGTATATTATTATTTGCGTGCTTTCCGGAATGGATATCTCGTGCTTCGGCGATACATCGTTTGGTGCCCTGTGCATCGCACGCGTGAATGTTAAGGATTTGAAGTGTGAATGGTGTCTGAGAGCAAGGACATAATGTTATTGTCCGAGTAATACTAATGTAGGTAGGTAGATATATAGTCACTGATAAAGTAAGCGTGCGTCTATGC